CCAATAATATCTTACTTTAACTCTTCTGTAGGTTTCCTCTAATGCAAAGTGTTCTGCTAAAGGATCAGAATGTAAATTATATAATATAACATTAACTTCATTAGTTTTTATGACTTTTAAAAGTCGTTATAATTCCTGTTTATTCTTTTTGTAGAGTTATCCTTCTATCACAATAAAATATCTTGACTTTTTTTTAATTACTGCTTGTTGCTGTTAATTTAAATGTGTTGGCATTTTAAGTTCTGATAAATAATGTACCAGTGAAAAATATGTATCTGAGTCCATAGTTAGGTTAAATTAGAATCTGTTATCCGTAAGAATATCTGTAAGAATAAATCTGTTTACTTTTATAAATTTGTTAAAAACTTCCTAGTATTGTATTTAGCTTAAAATATCTACGTTTGAGTGAAGTTTTTCAGGATAATTAATAATTTTTATATCATAAGCATTAAAATTCATTAGCTAATGTCTAAGTTATTTAACAGAATTTTTCATATTCTTTAAATAAGCCAAAGCAACATGATCAGTTATTACTATAAATTTATATCTATATAAATAATGATAATAATATTATATTGCTTATATGACAGCTAAACATTCTACATCAGTTACAAAATACTTTCTTTCAGGAGACCTTAAAGTTCTACTTACGTATGCAATTACTCGCTCTCTTTTCTGATTATCTTTTAGGAGAAAATTGCTTTCAGAGCATAAGAGGAAGCATCAGTATACAAAATAAAAGGTCTTTCAAAATTTAGGTATGCAAGAATAGGTGGAGATGTTAAATATCTTTTTAATCATTCAAAAGCATTTTATTATTCTTGTGTCTAAATAAAGGGAGTATTCTTTTTGAATAATCTATTTAAAGGTTTGATGATATTAGCAAAGCCTTTTATAAATCTTCTATAGTATGATGTTAGAGTAATAAGACCCTAAGTTGTGTTAAATCTTTTGATACTGAAAAGTTTCTCATGACTGCTATTTTATTTGAATCTGTTTGAATTCCTTTTCCACTAATTACATGTCTAAGAAATAATAATTTCTATTTAAAGAAGAAACATTTTTCTAGACTTAATTTTAATCTAGCTTACTGAAGTTGTAAGAATGCTTGTTCTAGTTGTAAGAGATGTTTGTCAAATGTTTTAGTGCTAATATTGATATCATTAATTTATATAACTACATTTTACCATAGAATATCACGTAAGATGATATCTATTAGTCACTGGAATATTGCAGGAGTATTACAAAGTCTAAAAAGCATGATATTAAATTCGTATATACTAAATCTGATAATAAATGTAGTCTTCTTTCTATCCTTAGGGTCTAATTCTACTTGTCAAAAACTACTTGCAAGATCCAGAGAAGTAAACCATCTAGATTCTTCTAATGTTTCCAATATATCATCAATACGTAATAGGATAGTTATCCTTTTTAGTAATACTGTTTAATTTGCAGTAATTAACACATAAATGTTTCTTACCATTTTTCTTTTTTACTACTATAACAGATAAAGTCCACTGGCTTTTTAAAGGTTGTATAAGTCCTGATTTTAGTAACTGGTCAATTTTCTCTTTATGAATTCTTGATTCTTATATAATATTCAATAGAATCTTTATTTGATTGCGTTGCCTTATCAGTATCAATAGAATACATGATAATATTGGTTCTTCTAAACTGATCATTTTTCCAAATAAATAGATGACATATTGAGACATGAATTCATTAAATCTTTTTAATTATTGTACTGTTAATCATTCAGTATAAAAGGTTTTCTTTTTTATTTTCTTATATTGATAGAAGTATTCCTTAATAATTTGATTTTTAGTAGTAGGTTTTTCTAATTCTTGGTTAATCTTTTGAGCTTCTTCAGCTGAGATTTCAGAGTAACAGAATAATCCTTTTTGTTTATTTTCTTCTTCACTTTCTTCTTTATATTCTTCTTTCTCATACTCCTCTTCATTTTCGTCATTATTGATTTATTCAGTTCTAATTAAAAGTGATTGGTGAAATTTAATAGGGACATTGATCGTGTGTTCTTTTCAGTATAGTATTATAATTTTATTTTTATAGCTGAATTCAGCATTTGTTTTCTCTAACCAATCATTTCTTACAATCACGTCATATAAATTTATTTCAGTTACTATTACGTCAAAAGAAATTATTTTTTCCATTATTCTTAGAGGAATATTTGCAACTATTCCTAAAGATCTTTTTCTTTCACCATTTACATTAATCATTATTGTTTTAGATTCCTTTTGTATTTTCATGCTAAACTTCTTAAGTAAGGTAAAGGATATAATGTATCCTGAGAATCCTAAGTTAACAATTAAAGATATTTCCTTATTTTTGATATATGCTTGATAATATAAGGCAGTTGACTTTTATTCATTTTAGTTGCTTTGTATGTTTCTTGTAATGTAAGATACTCATCATCTTCATTGACTTTTTTAATATCCATTGTTTTGATCCAGAAGGTTCTCTATTTAGTTTATTCTCTTCTGGATAAGTTATTTCCTCTACTACTGCAAGATCTTTTCCTTTATTTAGTTTTCTTGCAATAGACTTCCTTAATTGTTTGACTATATTTATGACAAATTTTGGGTTTAAAGATAATAGTTGACCATTTGTTATATTTGTCAACGTATCAAAAAATTGTTGAAGTGTATATAGATCAATCATATTAGTTACTGGAGGTACTACAGGAGGGCTTTTATCTTTCTTTAGGTTTAATTATTCTTTTATTACAATATTTCTTTGTTGATTCTTCTTTTTCTTAATTATATTTTCTTCGTCAATGATTCTTCTTTTCTTATTTATAAATGCTTCCTATATAGATAAGTTTGAGAAAACTGTAGAAAGTTTCATACTATTACCCTCTTGAGATACACCTTCTAGTTAAAAGACTGATTGCTATTATTAGCTTTTTATTATTGTAACATTTGTGTCAACAGTTGTAATGCTTGCAAATTTGCATTATTATTATTTTGTATAATATTATTATTATTTATATTGATAGGTAGTAGTGAAGGATTGTTTAAAGTATTGTTTACTAATATTGAGTTGACAACAGGTGATAAATTATTATTTTATTAGTTAGTCGCAAAGGTGTTAAGTAGGCAGTTTCTTTTTATGTGTCCTATTACCTACAGTTAAAGCATGTAATATTTTCTTTTTGTTGTTAGTTATTATTTTGAATATTATAGTTTGATTGATTATTTTGAACAATGCTTATTGATTATTCTGTTGATATGGCTGGTATTGCTGTAATAAATTTTTGTTGATTACCCTGATAGCCTTAATTATTTCTTCTATTATTATTATTTACATTTAACTGCTGTATTTATTATGTTAAAGTAGCAATAGTATTATTTAAATCACTCATTTAGATTAAAGTAACTTTTGGAGGAGTGAACTTATTTATATAAGCTTTAACAGTAGCAGTATTTTTATATATAAGTTTGTATTGTTTGGCTCAATCTAAAGTATTTACCTATGTTTGACCATTGAACAATTTAACAAGAATATAAAGTTCAGACAAAAGTCCAAAAACAAGTTGTCTAGCTTTATAAGCATTCAGATACTAAAAGGCTTTTTATAGAAATTGATGATGATGCAGATATCGATGTAGATTTGGTGTCCGGTATAATTTATTTATAACAAGATCATTATTATATTAAAAATCTACAGATTTATTTCCAAATTTAATTATTTTAACAGAGAATCAAAAATTAAAAAACACAATAAATGAGTTGTGAGAAAGATGCGCCACATTAGAAAGGAAAAATACTGAAATAACCTGACACGCAAAGAGTGTTTCTGATGAATTAAGACAAGTTAAAAGTGATTTTGATACATTAATTGATATTAATAATGCATTTAGTACGGAAAACAAAAATCTAAAAAAGAGAATTAAATCGAATGGAAGCGACGATGATTTTGATCGAGATAATTCAAAATTTACAAAAAAAAGAAATAAAGATATTGTCCAAAGTGACGATAAATTGGATGATCGAAATGATCGAATGGACATTAGTTCTAGAAAATAAGGAGAAGTGAATAAAAGAGAAGCATGGGTTTGTAATAACAATTTTCGTATTTTCTTCCTACTATTAACTTTATTTTTCTTTTACTAATTTCATCGATTTCTACTAACTTCGTTTATTTAATTTTCTTTCTACTAACTTCATCTACTTAATTATTTTTTACTACTGACTTCGTCTGCTTAATTTTCATATTTTTTTTTCTTAACGAATTAAATAATTAGATCGAAATGAAAGTGATACTAAAAACCATAAAGCCACAACTCCAATTAAACTACGATGACACATTTAATAATCCAGCAAATCTCAAGATTCAGCAGAAACTAGTTTCTGAATTAAAGAAATCACTTGAGCCAAACTATTATCCTTCCGTTTCCTAAATCACAAGATGGCTAAGCAGTTTACATAAATCTCGACATTCTCAAAACAGATTAAGGCAAACCAGTAAAATGGCAGCAGATGTTTGGAGAACTCACGCAAATAATTGAGCAAATGAAGTATGTAATATAATTCAATGGTATTTTTTCGCTTTACACTAAAATTGTCTAAATTTTATCAATCAGAAAAAAATATGAAGACTGAGAGCCACGATTCCCAAGTTACGTGTTACAAAAATGATTTTTTTTAAAACTTTAGCTAATCGTGCATATCATTCGCCAAAGATCAGTGAGACTGATGATGAAGAAAGTTCCTCTTCGATCATTAATGTATATGATCTCTCATGGAGGTCGGAAGAGGTTTTACATTTTTATCTTATCTGAATTTTTTTTCACCCATTATTAAATTTTAACTAACAAATTTCGACTTATTTTTGCTATTAATTTAACTAAACTCGTATATATTATGCATTTATTTTTAGTTAAAATATTTATTGCGAAATGTTCTCAATTCAAAAACAACACAAATGGCGCAGCAAATTTGACTTCAAAATTATGATGACGAAATCCAATGTTATGATCATCAACCTCCTGAAGATGCGTCTGGTTGGGCATATACTGAATAACCCAATGATATATACGATACTGATTTCAATAGGTATATGGGAGAAGATGAAGATGCAGAGGATTTTGATGAAAGAAGCAGTAGCAAGTCAAACCCTATTATCGAGGCTGAAAACTGAAATTCCTCCAAAAAATCGAAAATTGACTTAACGCAAACATTTTTTTTTTCTTTATATTGTTCTTTTCTTTATATCATTTTTTT